TGAGCCGCCGGCAGCGGCCGAGGGCCGAGCGCTGCGCGTTGCTTCCCGCAGGTACCCGTCTCTCGCGAGTTTTTGGAACATCTTCCACGAGTATGTTCCTGTATATTATTTTCTCGTTGTTAACGTCGAAAACTAGTTTGTTTTCCTTGTAGATAAGCCAGTTGCTACTTTGCAGACTGGGGGCTAAAGGTCTCCCCGTCCCGCCCACCAATCAAAACCAGAGCGGACTTATGCGCGTGGTCAAAGGAAGTAGGAGGTTTGCCCCAGGCTTCAAACAAGTCAAAGGGTCAGCTAGAAGTGTACCGTTGAAACCTCTATAGCTTTATTAACCAAGGTCACCCTAATTAAGAAATTTTTTTAATGATCAACTAGAATCTTTCTTAAATCCTTAAAAATCGTCCTTATGTATACAGAGGAAGCAAGATGACTTTAGATTGCAGTGAGATGACAAGATGAGGACTGTTCCCCACCAGAAATAAAAACGAGGAGAAATCAAAATACTCAGTACATTCCAATCTTCAGATTATTTTTAAATTTTTATTAGATTTCTATCATTTGATATAATAGAGCACCTTTTCATCAAAAGAGGGGCAATGTAAAATGGAGTTCTTAAGTATTATCCAAACTGGAAACTAAGGTTACAAAAAAAGATTTCAGGTTAAAATGAGTTACAGTAATGAGTGCACTTCCTGGCCCAAGTGCAGAACTTAAGGGTTGTAATGACCTAATGTTTCTTCTGCTGCAGGGCCAGTCCGGGGCCACACACTTGAAAAAGACAAAAAATAAAATATAACTTTTGACTATGGAAGGACAAAAGAATTTAAGTCAAATCTTATATGAGCATAGAATTACTACCAAAGCTAGAGTAGACTTTAGGTTTCAGCACTCCTAGTTTAGTATTTTTTCCATTGACCCTCCAAAATATTTGTAAATGTTTTTTTGCAATATAAATGGGATCTAGCAGAATTGTTCAGAACAGCCAAAAAGTGGAAGCAAATGTCCATCAGATGACGACTGGATAGATAAAATGTGGTACATCCACACAATGGAATATTTTCAGCAGTGAAGTACAACTGTGAAATTACAAACATTGTTAAGTGAAAGAAGCCAGACACCAAAGATCACATATTGTATGATTCCATTTATATGAAATGTTGACAACAGACACATCCATTGAGACAGACAGATTAGTGGTTGCCTAGGGCGGGGTTGGTGTGTGGGTACTGCTATTGAAGATCAAGAGGTGGGTGACTGCGGAAGGCTGAAGTGTATGGTATATGAATGTCAACAATAAAAATATTACAAAAATAAAAATTTCAAATTATGTGTGGAATTCTACAATAAAAATATTCTCTACATTATCAGTTTTTGAATTTATAAAATGGCTGGGTGTTAATGTATCAGAGAAATGTACGTGAAACATTACAATCATAGAGCCCTTGTGTTATCTGAGTATAAAACCCAGAATCTGTATTCCATAAAATTCAGATTCATATCTCACTTAAATGGAAGTCAGTGTTCGTTACTTCAAATCCAGTTGCAAACAAAAACAAGTGTAAAAGACTTATCAGCAATAAAAAAAAGTTACAATGAAGTTTGTGAGCTAGGCTTGAGCTGTTTGTAGGAATCTCTTACAGTCCTTTTGTTTACCTTATTCTAGTAAACTCAGGTCTGTGAGTTCCCAGCCCAGAAATTAGAATGTGATCATTGGAAAGGAAAGAAAAGAGGTGGTTTGTTAAAAGTAGATAAACACTCACATCAGAAAAAAACTCGAAGGGTGACAGACTGACATGCAAGGAGAAAATGGACAAAGAATTCAAAACAGAGGCTACCTAGAATAAAACTCAAATCTTGGATCTTTTCTAAGGGCAAACAAAGACAAACGTTAAATTACAACACTGCACAATCTGTAGTGATAAGCCTGAGCCACTTTTAAAAGGATTTATTTCATCATTTAAGAAGGCAGAGAAATATTAGGACTAATTCCTACTCTCTGCATGAAGGAACACTTTAAAAGGAGATGGGCTTAAACAGAGGGAGCACAGGGTGATGCATAAAGGTGCATTTAGCTCAAAAAAGGAGGGATCAATTAGGAAAAGGTGACAAAAAGACTTCTGCAAAGTGCTATGTCAGTGCTGACTTTTGCAAGAGGGTAGGTACGGCATTGTACACAGAAATAGATGATAGCATTTGTGAAGGCCTGGAAGCATCAATTTACTCCAGCATCTTTAGGTCAGAATTGCTGGCCTAAAAATGCAATTTTTAGGACTACTACAAGATCCTTTTCCAGAATCAAAGGAGATGGTGTTCAGAAATGCTTCTCCAAATTAAATGTTGTTAAACAAATGTAAGGTAGTAATTATGAGAATGCCATGGTTAAGTAAAGCAGATATCCCGTTTCTACCATTGAAGCACAAGGCCTTGAATAAATCGTCCCATGGGCTAGATTATTGGTAGGTATTCTAATCTTGATGTTGTATGTTTTAAAAAATAATGGGCATTTAGCTATTGCACAGGCAGGTGTCTATATTGAGCCCATTACACATCATTTATATAACTCAATATTCATGTGGCACTGGGATGTGTTTTATAACAAAACACAAAAACAAGACAGGGTCCCAGCACAGAAGGCATACAATCTGAAAGGCATAAGGGGGTATAAGAACAGAACATTTTATCTTTAAAAATTTTTTTACATGAAAAACTTCTAAGTCTTTGGTGATAATCAATGAAATGTCTTAATGAAGCAGGTTTTGGAAGGAGGTATAAAGGAAAGGTGCTCCTTTGGATACTGTGAGAAAAGACTGATTTGGTTTCTGGGATATGATGAACAAATGATTCTCGACTGATAGTAAGAAGATGCTTCTGTGGGTATCAGAATAGTATGGGCTGGAACAAAGAGACTAAGAAGTTTCAAAACAAGATGGTAGCTTCTTCCCTTGGTTTGATTTAATTTCCTTTATTTTTAAAATTCAGTTAACACTGAAGGGAATGTGGGCCTTTTTGATTTCTAGAAGGGAGAATGCTTTAAAAACAGATGAGAGGTATGAAGATGAAGACCAAGGAAAATGAACAGTGCAATGCAGTGCTCAAAAACCTTAGGAAAACAGCAGAAATAAGGGGAAGAGTCAAAAGTAATGGTCACGAAACAGTGGAAGAAGTAACAGGATGCCAAGGTTAACTAGGAAGGTCCGGCGAGGGGAAGGCTTAAAGTGAAATTGGTCTTAGGAGAAATTATTAAAAGATTTAAAGATGTTATATAAAGGTCCCACTGAAACAAAAGATAAATTTAAAATAACTTTGATTAAAAAGGGAAAATATACTGTAAAATATTTATTTAATAAAAATAATTTTATAAACTATACAGCTTTGAATAAAAAGTACAAGTTATTATTTCCACTGTGCAAAACTGCATACAGTACAACTTGCAAACAGGGCTCAGCATTCTATAAACATGGCCACGCAGCAAGATGTGAACTTATTACTGTTTTAAATGAGTAAAGGCTCCAGTTGTGTGCACAAACTTCGAATTAAATTCTAGGGAAATAACGCTTTGGTAATGTGAACAATTTGATTGTACCACAGTCCATTTTATTTAAAAAGATTAAATAAAATCCCTCAAGTACCACTTTTCTATTTGTTTCTGAGTAAACAATTCCCTATATAGCAAAATAAAAGATAAACTATAAAATTAGAGGCTACTTTTATGACATCACAACCCCTTCTCTTCCGTAGCTAGTGTTCTCTTCCTTTCCCTATATCCAAAAAGAAGTTGAATGGAAAATGACCTTATTTATTTGCTTCTAGAGTTCCCGCTTAAACCAAGAATGTCAATTTTGAAATCTTGACACTATCATTCACACTGTTTAGCTGTGCCATTCGAAAAATGTGAACACCCCCAGTTGAAAGCAGCTATCTAGATTCTTTTCAAAATAAGGCAACAAAGTTGGCTTTAAAATACTTTTCATCTCTCACATATTCTAGCAGCCACTTGGTAGGTAAGCTGATTTGAGGATTATATACAGAATATTTTTTCAAGTACCTTGGAAATGGAATAACTAGCAGTTGTTATTTTAAGCAAATATTTATGATGATCCACCCTTAGAAGCAAAGGCAGACTTAGTGTACAAAATGCAGGAATCATGTCTATCCTGGTTCCTGTCCCAGTGAAATCATCAAAAAGAGGCTCAGTTTGTAAAGGCGGCCTTGGAACAATCCAACTCCTGACAACACCTTTATCTCAGATAAGAAGGATAAATATAAAAGTCATAAATGGAGATGAAGTTATTTTAAAAAAGACTTTTTCATTTTATCTTGGAAATAAAAGGGAATGCAGAGAGTGGGTAGTTGTGAGTCTGGCCCACATTCTAACTTTGCACCGTGGAGTTAACAGTCCTTCCCTCTAAAGGATACAGGATGAGGAAACCTACCTCACGTTTTCTGATTAGGTCTCTTCACTCAGGTTACTAGCAGGCTTTAAAACTTGCCTTACTTTCTAACTACATGAGCTTCTCCGGGAAGCATATGAATAATGTGAACCTGTACTTCTAACGAAAATCTATACAAACACGTAACTGGCAAGATGGGTACTGAGAGCATTCACACAATGAATTTTTAAACACAACTTATTAGAAATGACACATGCTCCTTATAGGACAGGACACCAAACCAGAGCAAATGCTGCCTGTATAGGAACACCTTTCATCTGTAGAAACACAAATGCACATGAATAACAAAATAAGAATTAAGTTGAACAGAGGCAGGTGCTGTTACAATATATTTCTATCTTGACCTGTAACATCTGTGGCCCTTGTGAGGCCCTGGTCCCACCAGGCCAAGCTCTGGCTAATCAGATATAGAAGTACTTGACCTATGACACACCAAAGTCACTTGCTATCAAGTATACAACAATCATGTGCTGCTTGACTGCTTGTGATGACTTGGTTTTCAAAATTAAGTTCACTTTTGAATCAGAAAAAAATCATCCTTAAATAAACAAACTTTCCTTCTGCTCCTCTGAACACGATTACATTACTCTAGGAACACAGGTATAGTCAATTGGCTGCTTTGAAGCCATGAAATGCACACTTCATAAATATATGTCTACATCTTAAAAAATTAAATACATCCAGGGACCGTGGCTATGCAGAATTCTTGCTGTAAGAAGCAGCTTGTCAGTAGTGTGTTATGAAGTGGTTACTTGAGAACTTGACTCTCGATCTTCCTGCTTTGTATATTTCTTCATAATAGTGACTATACCATTAGCCAGGAAAACCACAGCGATGAGTGCAAAATAACCTGCGTAGATCAGGAACTAAAGGGGGAAACAAGTGATTTATAAAATTATCAATTAGAAGAGCTATTGTATTACATGCATGAAAAAATACTCTATAATTAAAACGTTCTCAATAAAACTTCAAAAAATAGTGTCCTTACCCAATGTGCCAGGTACTGAACACACAGCGAGGCAGCAGAGGGTGGTGGGATGGAAGCCTGAATGCCTGAGCACGAATTGTGACGACATCCAACTAACTGTGTGACCTTGATTGAGATACTTAATCTCTGCGCTTTGACTTAATTTACAAAATGGAATTCCTATTTCCCACTTTACTGGGTTGTTGGGAAGGATGAGATCATGTATGTCAATGTTTATTAGCACAATGCTGGTGCTGTTAATACTACTGTTTGTATTTTTGTTGCTGTTGTCACTGAGGCATGGTTGCTATCATCAAGCTGATAGGCAGGTACCTGGCATGACTGACAGGCCAAGATCTGAAGATCAAGAACTTTGATTCTTCCCCAGAAGAGGGCAGGTAAACCTCAGGTTGGAGCAAAAGTAGGTTTACAGTTGTTTGAATGGAAAATAACACAATAATTAACAAAGAATAATAAACAATAAGCTCTGTTTCTGTAAACCTACTTTTGCCCCACCCTGTACTTTTTATATGGACCTTCTCTAAGCCCACTTTTAATTGCGGCTATGTGGTTTAGCGAACGTTGTCACCACCATCTTCTGACAGTAACTTACTAACTACAGGTAAGCTGGTTCATGGGCTCAACAGGAGGGGAGCTCTAAGTCTCTGAGCCAGGTTTTTAAACGTTTGGATACATTCTCCTATAGGAAACCTGTTACTCAATCATGGCAGCTAGAGTTTCAGCACAGCCCACAAAATTCTATCATTCGATATGTTTAAACCCATCATTTTTATAGCAAGATAGCAGGCACTAGTTTCTGTCCTACCTTCCACCCCTAATGAAGCACCTAACCCTTGAGAGGCCTTCTCGAGGTTTTTACTGCTTATAGTAACTGGGAAACAAAGAAAGTAATAAGCTCCCCTCCTCTGCTCCCCCCTCTACCTTCTGAGGCAGCAAGATGCAATAGGAGATGAGACACTTCAGAGTAAGATGCTGGTTGAGATCCTAGCTCTGCCCACTATTGTTGACTCTGTGACCTTAACACTTAATATCACTTAACTCTCAGACTCAGTTTTTCCATGTCTAAACCTGACATCTCCACAAAATTCTGTATAAAGTACCTGGCACATAGCACTCAACGCACATTACCATCATCATTATTATTATCACTAAAAACACAGTTAATTACTGCTGATGTGTTGGGTCTTTGTATTCTAAGAAAACTAATATGTCTGTATGGAGGGCGTAATGGAGAAGCCATTTTCTGGCCTGGAATGGGGGTGTGGTGGGCACTTTTTGATAAAACTGCCCGTTTTGCCAAAGTACACAGCAAACCCTATCTATAAACTCATAATGCCTGAAGGCATATGCAGCCATACAATTCCTCAATGAAGAAAAGTATTCACATTGTCTTGGGTGTTTGTGCAGGTGTTTTCTCAATAGGTCATGTGTTAAGAATAATACTGCTGTTCATCAACAGCAAGTCATTACCTTGGTATCTGGGTGAGAGGATTTTCACTAAAGGAGGGAGGAAACTTAGATGTGAAATAAAGCAGGGCCTCATCAAAACAGGGTTGACCCACCATTATCCAGGTAGCAAAGAACTACAGATGGGGGATGACTAATGGGTGGGGACACTGTTACTTTTTATTTTGTGTCTGTCTATACTGTTTGAATGTCTCTTTATTAGGCATGCTCCACTGTGTCACCCTGATCAAGTTGTAACTTCTTCAGTGCCAATACAGATCTTACCTGAGTCGTAATTTCTAAGCCAAGGCCACTGGCATCAACCACAATGAGCGTGAGCAGTGTCTGCAGGGCCAGAGCAATGAAGGTGTTGACACCAAACACCAGGGCATAGCGCTCCATGCTGAGGTTTGCTGCAATCTGAAAACTTAACAAATAAAGAAGAATGAATGGAAAAAACTTCCTCCTGGGTAGTTCCGATTTTTACTTTAAATGGGAAGGGTACTCCCTTCTTTCTACTGTCAATCCCCTTCCCAACCAAGTGAAAAGTATTTTGTTGCTAAATGATGTAAATCTCATGCAAAATCTGGAAACAGCAGGAACATGTGAACAAGGACCTCAATGAACCTCACCTAAAATGCTTCCTCAGGAGAAAACAAACAATACAGTGCTTTCTCCCATTTGCTTTTTAACTAGAAAATTTAATTTCTTTGTAAAGAAACCAAAAGGTTTATCCAATCACAACTTTTCCTAATGCTTCTTTGAATAAAATACATACGTTGCTATAGTGATGAGTAACATGTAGATGATTCTGAAGACAACATAGGACGCGTAGCACACCCAAATGTTACCCACAGTGTCCATGATGTACACTGCGGCCGCAATCAGGAGAGAACACAGAGACAGTGTCATTTCTCCCCAAGTGGACCAGGATATTTTTATGTAACCAACTGCAAAAACGGCAACAGCACCTACAGAAAGAGAGAAAAGCAACTTATTTTGCTAAATACATGCTATTTAAAATTTTTAAAAAATCAGCTTAGATTATTACATTTTGAAAGCTGTGAATTTATAAAGAGGGTAGCTCAAGATTATGAAGGGCCTTGAAAGCCAGGCAGAGAATCTGGACTTGATGGAATAAATACTATGGAGTCAGTGTGAGGATGAGACTGAATTAGGGAACTGAACAACAAGATGGGAAAGGGGGCCACAGACCCAGGGGGTGCTGCTAAAGAAACGCAGCTGAGGCAGAGCGGCTGAAGCAGAGGCAGAGGCAACGTCCAAAAGAACCATTGCTTTTATCTTGGCACCATGGCAGGACAAGGCATCTCTCTTCCTCAATGAGGAGCCGTTGAGAACATGGCAAAAGGACATCTCTGCCCCTTGTTAAAATGACGACAATGAGAATGACAACTAAAACCTATGGAGTGCTTCCTGACTGTCAGCCAGGCAGTTATACGTGTTTACAGAAATCATGTAAAGTCTTCCAAAAACCTTATGAGGTATGCCAACAAATGAGAAAGGGACAATAGAATGTAATGGTCAATGACACAGGCTAGAGTTCAAATCTTGACCTCACTATTTACCACCTACACAACCTTGGGCAAGTTAGTAACACATCTGTCTGACGTTTCCTTAACTGTAAAATGGGGATGGTAATTGCACCTTCATCTCAGTAATTTAATAAGGACTGAGTTAATATACATAAATTATAAAATCAGAGCTCAAAATAAGTAAGTCATTCTTTGAAGTTACCTCAAATCTAGGAGAGGAGAGAAAACCTGATTATGGCCGGCAACTACCAGAGGGATCCCCACTCCTGACCACTCCTAACAGTCAGCATTGCTTACCCAGTAAGGTTGAAACGGCCTCCACGCCCCCGTTGTAGATAGCAGCATGGCGAGAAGGCATCACCTGCTCCCACAGGCCCTGTGTGTAGTTGATGACTTGAAAATAGCCACAGGTGGAGAGAGCCCACCATACCGACCAGCAGAGCAGAGGGCGAGAGGAGTAGCACATCAAGAAATCATTCCACAGTACCTTCAGCACAAGGAGACGGTCTGGCTGGGGCTCCTACACAGCAAAAGGGAAGAAAGCTCAACTACCATGAAGGCAACTGGACAGGAAGCAACTGTATAGACTCAATTTTCTATTTAACAGACATTACTCTTTTTTCTTGTGAAAAACATATATACAGGGTGAGTCAAAAGCAGGCTTACAGTTGTTCGTATGGAAAATACAATAATAAAAATCTAAGAATTATGAACTCTGTGTTTCACATATTCCTGCTGTCAGGCCCTTCTCCCTTATTATTATTTTAAACATTTTTATTTTTTAGTTTACTTTTAAATATATCTTTATTGATTTCAGATAGAGGAAGGGAGAGGAGAGAGAGAGAAACATCAATGATGAAAGTCACTGATCGGCTGCCTCGTGCACACCCCCGACTGGGGATGGAGCCCACAACCCAGGTGTGTGCCCTGGCACGGAATTGAACCTCAATCTCCTGGATCCTAGGTCGATGCTCAAGTGCTGAGCCACACCCGGCTGTTTTTATTGATTTCAGAGACAGGGAGGGAGAGAAAGAAACATCAATGATGAGACAGAAACATCGAACGGCTGCTTCCTGCACGCCCCCTACCAGGGAGCAAAGCCAGAAACCCAGGCATGTGCCCTGACCAGTAACCGGACTACCACCTCCTATTCATGGCTCGAAGCTCAACCACTAAGCTACACCAGCTGGGCTCCTTTATCTTTCTTTAACTGAGGGATAATTTACCTATAATATATTGGTTTCAAGTGTACATGATTCAGTATTTGTATACATTGCAATACGATGACCATAATGTCTAGTTAACATCTGTCACCATACATAGTTACAAATTTTTGCTTGTAATGAGAACTTTTAAGCTCTATTCTCTTAACAAGTTTCAAATATGCAACATGGTATTATTAACTATCATCACCATGTTGTATGTTATACCCCTAGGACTTATTTTATAACTGGAAATTTGCACCTTTTGACCCCCTTCATCCATTTCTCCTACCACCCAATCCCCACCTCTGGCAACTATTCTTTTTACCTATGAGCTTGTGGTGTTTGTGTGTGTTGTTTTGTTTTTAGATTCCAAATATGAGAGTGTATGCTACTTGTCCTTTCCTTTTTGACTTACTGCACATGGCATAATACCCTCGAAGTTCACCCATGTTTCTGCAAATGGCAAGAATTCTTTTTTTTAAAAATCCTCATCCAAGGATATGTTTTTATTGATTTGTTTTTTGTTGTTTTTTTTTGAGAGGAAGGGAGCAACATCAATTTATGAGAGAAACACAGATCGGTTGCCTCCTGTATGTGCCCCAAATGGGGACTGAACCCACAACCTAGTACGTGCCCTGACTAGGAATCAAATCCACAACCTTTTGGTGCCTGAGACGACGCTCTGACCAACTGAGCCACTTGGCCAGGGCAGAATTCATTCTTTTTTATGGCTGAATAATATTCAATTATTATACACCATATTTTCTTTATTCGCTCATCCATTAATAGACACTTAGGTTGTTTCCAGATCTTGGCTATTTTAACCAAGGCTGCAATGAACATGCAGAGATCTTTTTGAGTCAGTGTTTTTGTTTTCTTCAGATGAGTACCCAGAAGTGGGATTGCTGGGTCACATGGTTGTTCTATTTTTAATTTTTTGAGGAACCTCCATACTGTTTTCCATAGTAGCTGCACCAATTTACATTTCTACCAATGGGGTATGAGGGTTTCCTTTTCTCCACATCCTCGCCAACACTTGTTATTAGAAATATTGAGCACCTCTTCATGTATATTGGCCATCTATATGTTTCCTTTGGAAAAATGTCTATTCATATCTTTTGCCCATTTTTTAATTGGATTTTTTTTTGCTATTGAGTTGTATTAGTTTTTTATATATTTTGGATATTAACGCCTTGTCAAATATATGATTTGCAAATATTTTCTCCTATTCAGTAGGTTGCCTTTTCATTTTGTTGATTGTTTCCTTTGCTGTGCAGAAGCTTTTTAGTTTGATGTAGCCCCACTTACTTCTGCTGCTGCTTTTGCTTTTGGTGTCAGGTTAAAAAAATCATTGCCAAGACCAATGTCAGGAAACTTACCGCCTATGTTTTCTTCTGAAAGTTTAATAATTTCAGATCTTACAATCAAGTCTTAATCCAGCTTAAGCTAATTTTGTGTAGCCCCTTCCCCTTTTAAATAGAACCTTGAAAGCATATAGTTAGGTGTTTACACTACCAAGTTAAAGGCCCCTCTTTACTTAGCTCAGTTGTGTGCAAAGGGAGATTAATCTAGTCAAACCAATGGCTACGATGGAAATTTTTGAGAATAAGTTTGACAAACTTACTACAGTGGTACCTCGTTTTTCAAACGTCTCCGTTAATGAACATTTTGGCTTACAAATGCCGTAAACCTGGAAGGAAATGCTTCAGTTTTCGAACACATCTCGGAAGTCAAACATGCCACAGGGCTTCCACTGAGGGAAAGATCCCGAGGCCCAGCTGTTGGCTGTTGATCCCTCGGTTTTCAAACGTTTCAGAACTTGGGTCTTCCAGAACGGATTACATTAGAAAACCGAGGTACCACTATTTGTCAAAATATGGTTCTGTCAGTCAGGACTGCACTTTATTCTAATTTTTATGGCTGGTTCCTTTATGTCACTCAGGTCTCAACTCAGACATCAGCTTTCCAAAAGCCATTCAATACTCTTAGCAATCATTACTTCTCCATACCACGGTTACTTGCTAGCAAATTACCCTGTTGGTTTTGAATCCTACTTCATTTTCCCCTTCTTTAAAATCAAGATCAAACCACCCACTACCTACATACTCTTCTTTACCATAATTACTACAATTACAATTTATGGTTCAGTTATGGACTCTGTCAACTTAAAATGACAGTGCAATATCCAACATTCATATTCTGACTTTCCTTCAAGCTTGTCAAAGAAAAACAGCAGTATTCTGGGACTGTACAGTGCCAAGCAGCACTGCTTGCCTGTTGTGGGGCCAGGAATAGAGCCAAGGACATCATGGAACTGATTTGAATCCTAATTTTTACCACACTCTGACGGTTCTGACCATTGTCACCCCAGTGAAAGACTTCATGGAGCAAAGTGTAGATTGAAGTGAACCTCATATATACTCTTCAATCTTGTTTAGGAGTATATTTGGGTAATTCTGCAGTCACTAGTTCTGATTCCAATTCTTATCTCTAGAATGAGAGGGTGGATGAGATCTAAAGTCCCCTTTAACTTTAAGATGCTCTGATTGCTCTACGACCTGTGGTTAGAATCACTTCTAACTCTAAAATGTTATACTCACTCAGCATGTCAAGTACTCACATTTTGCATATCTATAAGCAACAAATATCAAGTTCTGTACGACCAACAGATTTCAACTCATTCATTGACTTTAGGTTTCAACTCATTAGTAGGTAATAAAATCAATTTAGTGGGCAATGGGTGCATTATAAAAAATAAATGGAATGTGTCAGAATAAAATAATGTGTTGTTAAAAACCCTTGTTTCAGTTATATATAAAGTATATATATATATATATACAGGTGTACTGGTTGCTATGTAAAATGTTTCTTACTAAGTAGTTTCCTATTTGTGTTCAAAAAAGTTTAAAACTTACTGGTTTATAAAAATCTTCAGAACTATGGCCAATATGTTAATATTTAAAATATATATGTATTATAAATATGTGTATACATATTAATCTTAGCTAAAGCCACATTTGAAACATTTTTTAAAAAAGTTCTTATTCTTTTTTCTACTACATGAAGTCAAACGATTACTCACGCTTCTTTCCCTCCCTCATCGACCCTTTGTTGACTCTCCAACATCACCTAACAAACTATGAGGGAATCAGCACTTTGTTTCTGCTTAGTTCCTGGGAATTCTGACTGAAGCTGCCCACATGTGCCTTAATAAAGTGAGTTTTATGCTAAGTGTCATCCAGGCTCTAAAGTGGGACTCAAGCTCTTTGGGATAATAACTGAAACTTCAACTAGTAACCAGAGGTGAAAATAAGGGAAGGCAAGAGAGTAATTTCCAATGAGGAAATCAGATGCCACATTGAGACAATTTGGGTTAACTCCTGGTGGAGAGCCAGAACCTATTATGCTGGTCCTTGACTCAGCGAGCCTACAAAACTTATGGAGCTCGGTTTTATGCCTGACAGAGACCGTCTACAAGGGTGGAATGTTAACAGGCTTATTAACAAACACATCCCAGGAAAGCTAAGAGTAATTCAGTATGTTTGAAATGAACCCTGACCCTTACAGCTTATAACTGATAGAAAGGTAACAAGCTTTTATGAAAAAGGGCAATGGACTGGGGGAGGCAGTGAGTGTTCCTGGTTGGACAGAATGGATGGGTGAATCATCACGCCATGCCTCTTGTAAGAGAATTTCACAGTCATGCTTCTAATATTTATTTCATCTTCTTAAATATTCCTTGTGATTCTCTTCTTCTGTATTACTCATTACTACGCAATTCGGCAAAGTATCATTTCCAGCACAGAAGAGGAAGATACTCCTATCCTTAAACACTTGGGCACAAGTCAGAAACTGGAAGTAGATATTCATCATTTGTTGGAATCATTTCATCTACTCATTTAGCTAAAATTTTCTGAGTGCTCTACTTATGCCAAGTTCTGGGGATTGAAAGATGAAGAAGAGAAAGCCCTTGCCGTGATTTCTAAAACATCTCTCACACAAGCAACAGAATGTTGTGCCAGTCTGACCTTGAAGGTCACTCACTCGGGGGGAAAATACATTTGTCATCCCTAAATCAACCTTATCTTGAATCAATGAATAAATGAACCAACCAACTCAGTATAAAACCTGAATCCACATGAATACAAGGTCTAACATAAGATTTCCTTCCTGTTTTATCACTGCTTGCCTGGCCCCCAGAGTAGCAATCACAAGACATTTAAAAGCTGAACTTACCGATTCCTCCATGGGAGGCTCCTCCACATTTAGAGGGATTTTTGACTCAACGTCCTCCCACCCGGGAAGGTGGTTAGACGCTGAGGTGTCAGTCACAATACCACCATTTTGTATCTTGATACCATTCACTCCCTGGCAGGTGGAATGAACGTGGTGGAAAAACAGGCTCTTCTGTGGCATAGGCAGAAACCAGGCCACAGCAAAAGCCACAGAGACACAAGTAAGAGAGATAACATTCAGGCTGAACAGGGACCAGCCAGCCACTGAGATGAGGATTTGCCCTAGGACAGAGCCCACTGTGAAGCCCACCAAAGTGGCAGTTCGACTGTAACTTGTGACTTTCTGGTACCTGCTCAGGTCTACCACACTGTAGATGTATGAGTAATAGGCGATTTCAGTGGCTGTGGCAATGCCATAGAAGAATTCCAAGAACTGAATGGCCAGCAGTCCCTGGGCATAGAGCAGCATGAACCATGTGACAATAAGGCTGAGTCCCTGCAGCAGAACAACGGGTTTGTAACGGAGGTAGTCTGTGGCAAGGAACACAGGAAACAGCAGCACCAGGTAAGAGTAAGTCCATACTGGATAAATTTCATTGAAGACCTGACAGGCAAAGAAGGGTAAAAACCCATTAGTGACATCAAAGGACCTGGAATATTCATAACCATTTATTCTTACCTAGCAACACCTCAAACACCTTATCCTTAATAATCAAAGAAATAGCGACAACAGTTCTGAAAATTGTTTGGAATATACTTACCCATTTCCACTCCATCATCTTTTTCTTAAAATCCTCCCCATTAAGGCCTGGGTCAAAGGGTTGCTCATCCTGGAAGACTGGTAGAACTGACAGTCTTTGTACCACAAAACTCAAAGCTCTCTTGATACTGCTCTGTATATGTCATCTCCCCAGTTCCTCACAGCACTGGTTCTCTGCCATGGCTGCACATTTCCCAAAGAGCTTTAAGAATTTTGGATGCCCAGCCATAGGCACTTTTTAAAACCTCCAAGGAGATTTTAACATGAGCGAGAGCCGAGAACCATTCCCTTACAGGTTCTTTAAGGGTGAACTCATCTGTACCACCTAATAGCCAGCATACTGCTTAGGAGATACTTGGCTCAATAAATGTCTTAGAAACAAATAAATGTCCTGGAATCCTTGTCAATCCTTTCTCCTAGGCACAGGACAGGGAGCCTGGATCCTACTGCTTGACTGATTTGATGTCTCTGATTTTAAGTTTCATTTCTTTGGGAGCCCAGGAATAAAAGGGTAAATCTGTTTACAATCTTAACAGAGTATCTGTGGATGGTAGGATTATGGGCAACTTTGATGTCCTTTTTGCTTGAAAAAGTAGCAGGATTGGCTGTTTGTGTTTTAATGTATTTTTTAAATTGAGATATAACAGAAATAATCTTTAAAATAAGCATTAAACCATTACGACCGCCTAGCTAGGATTTCAGTTGCATCATTTATTGTGTGATCCTAGGCAAGCAAGTTTCTTTTAGTTCCCGTTAGACTTAACCTGCAGTATCAGTAAAAAGAGGAGTAAGACCTACACCACTGGGTTATTCTTTGCAAGGATTAAATGAGAGAATACGTGTAAATCATAACTCCACTTCATTCATAGGTCTGAAGACTTCAGGACTGACACGAACATACAGACCACTTGGAACAATATGACTTTTCCCTCCTCATACATGCCCAGTGTCTAGCAAGGTCTAGATCAGTCAGTTTTTAAAGGTCATTTCAAATTCTGCATCAGTGGCGCCAATTTTTAAGTGCTTTCTGAAAGGTTGTCTTGGTAACATGTTAAATATTTTGCAATGAAGCACTGTAATCCTAGACTTCGACAATCTAAATTCAAGGGTGACTTTCTTTTAACTTTTATGTATACCTCAGTTCACCCAAGTATAAAATGGGCTAACTGTTTTAAGGTCTTAGAGGAATGATAAAGTAAATAACTATTGTGAACTCTTTTGCCAGTACACAGCACAACTATAAAAGTAAAACATAAACTGAAATACATTCCAGACTTGATTCTGTTTCTGACTGGCCGAACACCAAAAGTGATTTGTCTCATAGCCTCACCTTCATGAATTTTTATCTAATTTGTGTTTGTAAGTCATTTAGCAACCTCCACTTGATTAGGAAATGTTCTTGCACCTGAACATGTACATGAAAGAATAATCGAGAACTGTAGAAATGATTCAAAAGTGTGGAAATTTTAGCAAATGAGGTACAAAGTACTCTTGGCTGGCTTAACCTCAGCCTAAGATGCCTCTCAGTAGAAAACCAGAGGGGCTAAGGGTACCCTGAGATGAAGGCCAGGAAGAGTGAAGGCTTCCCTACAGACTTTTCATAGTTGTGTTCCATTAACAACGTCCCACTCCTTTTTGCCTGTAGTTTTACAGATACTCTCTCTCCTAGTTTTCTTAAGTTTGAAAGTGTCTCCTTTGCTGTGACTCAGTATGTTTCTTCACTTTCCCACCTCCCCAACATGTTTTCCCAACACAGTACCACAAAGCATTACCATCACACCTCTCCTTTAAAATACCCTCCTCCGTCACTTTTTTCAATACCCCGTCTTCTTTTGTTTTCCACCATGCCCCTCTGGACTTTAACGGACTCTTCACTTCAGTAATATGGTCTGTACTGAGACATGTTATATACCTTTCAATAACTGTTATCCCCAAATGGTTAACTGCCCACCAAGTTTTCATTACATAAATCTCATCCTTTTAATTACCAATTTAAACTGTTTATACTTATAAGTCTGCTTCTACTTCTAATACAAAACCACAATTTAGATCATGAAGATGAGGAAAAGTAACATTGGCAGGCTGCAATGCCAAGTAGAAACAAAAACAAGAGGAAAATGGGCAGGAACCAGATGGCTTCTCTTTAACTTATTCTAAATAAGAAATCAGATTTTTCTCCCATGAGAGAGGATCAACCCAAGATGAATATCCCTCTCACAGTATGACCAGAGTTATAATAGCAAACCTCTACTGAGGAGCTACACACTGTGCTATTCACCTTACCTACATGACCACATTTAATCCAAACAACAGTCCTAGGAGGGAAATGCTTGCCATCTCTATTTTACAACTGAGGAAGCTTGGCCTCAGAGAAGGTTAAGTCAACTGTCCCAAGTTATCTCAGCTAGTAATTGGCAGAGGGAGGAACTGAACCTAGATATTCTGAATCCGCTACACTCAATGCCTCATTTCTTCAATCAAAAAACTTATTGACCATCTACTGCATTCCAGGGTTACTTCTAGTGCCTGCAGGTTTTTGTTTGTGTTTTTAGAGGGAAGGAGGGAGAGGGAGGGAGAGAGAGACAGACAGACACATTGATCAGTTGCCTCCCATACCCACCTGCCCCGATGAGGGATTAAACCAGAAACCTAGGTATGTGACCTGACCTGGAATCGAACCTGGGACCTTTTGGTGCAGGGACGACACTCCAACCAACTGAGCCACACTGGCCAGGGCTGCAGCAGCTTTTTCAACCTGTATTGAGGTGCTTTTTTAAAAAAAAAAAATAAAAAAATATCTTTATTGATTTCAGAGAGAGGAAGGGAGGAGAGAGACAAAAACATTGATGATGATGGTCATTGATTGGCTGCCTCCTGCATGCCGCCCACTGGGGATAGAGCCCACAACCCAGGCATGGGCCCTGACTGGGAACTGAACCTCAGTCTCCTGGATCCTAGGTCACTGCTCAACCCCTGAGCCACGCCTGGGCCGGGCTTGAGGTGCTTTTACAGGGCATTCATGAAGAGGTAAAGACCACATCTCCAGAGGTTAGCCATTGGGTCTCCAAAAAAAGAATCCCTTCTGTCACAACACCTCCAATGAGAAGCTGTCACACTGAAAATGCATCTTTGATGGATACTTTGAATCTTGAAGGAAAACTTCCTAAATGCAAAAATGGACAAATTACACACTCCATTGCCCAGACCCTGGACAACACCTTATTTCAGGTAAAATCTATCATGTGAGCAAAAGGAACTGATTTTATTGTAAGGCACTTTTTACAACTCTTGGGATTGGAGCTTGTTTGTGGTTTCCTCTGAGATTAAAAAATCAAGGGGAAACAGGCTCATTTTAAATTTCTAATGCAGATTTAGACTTTATTTTAGAATCTAGTTCAATTAAACAACCAGTTAATAGGCACTTATTTGTACAACACTGTTTTCAAGCTGCATGGAGATTCCAAAAAAAAAGAATAAAATGAAGCCTGTTTTCCCAGAGTTCTGAACCTAGTATGGAATACATGTACATACATTATTGATTAGGGAGATGGGAAATACGGGGTTGCTTCTGTGAGATGGACCTTGAAGGACAAGGAAGTTGGAGGCTAGCAGAAAGATGCCGTATCAACAGATACGTACGGGAGAATTACTCCAAGCTGAGATCTCATCGTTCAGTACAGACCAGCAGATGAGGCTGTGGCTATGCTGGACTTACTACTAAGGTGAATGTGGAGGGAGCTTGGGCATGTGGAAGAAAGCCGGGGAAGGAGGTAGGCAGTGGGAAATACGGCTGTTCTGGAGTTAAGAGACAGATTCTCTAAGGCGCTGATTATCAAGCAGAGTAGGTGGGATTTTTTTTTTTTTTTTTTTAAATATATCTTTATTGATTTCAGAGAGAGGAAAGGACAGGGAGAGAGAGAGATAGAAACATCAATGATGAGAGAGTCATTGATCGAGCCCACAACCTGGGCATGTGCCCTGACCAGGAATCGAACCCTGATCGCCTGGATCCTAGGTCGACGCTCAACCGCTGAGCCACGCCCGGCTGGGCGAGGTGGGATTTTTTTTAAGAATATCAAAAAAAGGTAGTGAATGTCTGTCAAATCACATACAAAAAAAGCTGAAAGGATAAAAAATATTTTGGAAGTCAAGAGCTCTATTTTATTAAATGTTTAGTTTTCTACTATTGGGATACAATCAAACTTTAACCTATTTAAAGCTTATAAAGTGGTACTGAAAAGAGGTGAACATTTTTCCTGAAATCTAAGAAAAAATCCTTTGAGAGTCTTCCCTTTCCTCCCTTTTTTCTTTAGACATGGTTAACAATAGCTCTATTTAAGATGATCCAACTTGGCCCTTCTGAAGTCTTCTAAGGGGAAATATAAACTTCAACACAAACATCACTGACCATGATTAAACATTCACTTTGCCTAAAAATCATGTCATATTTTTTATTTCACTGTCCATTGGTGAAAGCGAGCACTCAGTCAGGAAGAAGAACAAATTGTCCTATTTATTTGTTATTAGATTACTTTTAAAAATCTAGGGTTCTGGAGAGGGTGAACAGAGCCATACTGCACATAACCAACAGGTTCGGCCCTGATTCCAGAGCCCTCAGAGAAAAATGACAGCCCTTTTCCAGATACTCACTTTCCCTTCAAACCCTGCCTTCTTCCTAATCTAATTTGCAGTAACAGACGTGTGCTATGGTTTTGTTACACAATCAGCAGATATTTCCTGGGCCTGTCACCCCTGCTTTATTCCTGTGCCCCTGAACATATTTCACTCACCCTAGAAAGCTTTCGGGACATCCCACAGCAACTCTCTGCCTGGGGCACGTGACAAAACAGATCAGCTTTCAAACATCAACACTGAGAGAATGTTTCTCCCTCTTGCGCTTCTCGGTCAGGCAAGGTGCACACACTGATCACATGGCAGTTCACATGAAACTTTAATTGTCAGCAGCTCACCAGCAGTATCACTTCTGCTTCAGTGGCTACCCAGTGGTTGGGCTGGGTGTCCAGGATCATTCTCTCATACTTACTGCAGTAATTTTCTTCTTGTAAAATCATTCTATTCACAAGAGTTGGCCCTTTCCATTTTATTACCAATATTAAAATTCAAATATGTAATAAGTAACTGTTGCAGAGTAACTGGAGTGGGGCATAAGGCTGAGAAATAGAAGATCTGAAGTTGGGCAAAAGTCAGTGACACTTGCCATAGATGAAACTATAATGGAACCCTCAATCCAGGCTTCAACACCCAACTTTCAATTCCCTGATAAGGGACCTTGAACATGGAGGAGCGATGCAGCAACAAAGTGGGCTATGAGTAATGACATCTGCTCTGACCTGTTATGCAGGGCTACTGAGGTGCTACTCAGAGGAGATGACTAATCACAGGGAGAAGGGTAAGGTTTAGAGAGGAGTATTCACGGCAACTGGGAGGAAAAGTGAGCACGTGGCAAAAAGGGCCAGCTAACAAGCCCACTCAGCTCTCAGCCTTTGCAGTGCTCCAGAAAGGAACACCAGACCTTGGCTCTCAGCCTTTGCAGTGTTCAAGGGAGAGGATGCTGAACCTAATTTGCTTTGGTTTTGTGGGGACACCGAGTTTAGTTCCTTTTTCAGTTAATATAACGTCTTTCTTCTTCAAAAACCACAAGAGTTGAAATTGACCATAAGCTTTAAGAGTTAAACACATTTTTAAAGTGCACAGTGCACTTGTGGAGTACTTATAAACCCCCAGCTAGGAAAAATCAACCAGCCAATAAGTCCCTGATCATGAGCTACGGGCTCCCAATTACTCTGAACATCACAGAGGGACAGAAGTGTTGCAAGATCTCACCATGCAGTTAAGGAGCAAAACTAACAGCTGTGAAGCAACAATGCACAATGCAAGAAAAACTATAATTAAGTGCCAACTCTCTGATACCATCTAAGTATCTGCTTTTATCCCAGGAGGTGGGGTGGGGGTGGGAG